TAATTAGATTGAACATGTCTTCGCATGTTAATGGCCATTTGTGACTCCTCTTCTACAAATGTTTTCTCAAGGCTTTTACACATATTTATCGTATGTGCAAAAGCCTTTTTTATTTGTAAGGCACTGCATATATTTTCAGTATTAACTAATCCTTTGTTAAATATGTTCCAAATATTTTCACCCAGTAAGTTGTCTTTTAACTTTCTCTTTTTAAAATGTAGTTGAATTTACCAATTGTTTCCTTTATTATTTGAACTTTTTTTACTTGTTTCTTTTTTAAAATTAATTGTATTGGCACACTTTTTTTTTTTTTTTTTTTTTTTGTATTTTTGAGACAGGGTCTCGCTATAAAGTTTAGGCTGGCCTTGAGCTCTCTTTGTAGCCCAGGCTGGTCTCGAACTCACAAGGATCCTCCTGCCTCAGCCTCCTGAGTACTGGGATTACAGGCATGAGCTCCCATGCCCAGCAAGTACACTTTTGCTATACATAATGATCACATTCATCACAGGGAATTTTTGTCCTTATTTTTAAAATCTTTCCCATAGGGCTAAAGATGGTGGCACATACCTATAATCCCAGCACTTGGGAGGTTGAGGCTGGAGGATTGCTGTGAGTTTGATGCCAACCTGGGCTACAGAGTGAGTTCAAGGCCAGTCCTTGAGACCCTGTCTCAAAAAACAACAAAAAAAATCTTTCCCCATCCTTGAGCATATAAAAATATTTCTCTATGTTTCCTTTTATTTTATTTTATTTGGTTTTTTTTTTTTTGAGACAGGTCTCACTATGCAGTTCAAACTGGCCTTGAGCTCACTTTGTAGCCTAGGCTGGTCTCAAACTCACAATGATCCTCCTGCCTCAGCCTCCCGAGTGCTGCGATTACAGGCGTGCACCGCCACACCTGGCTCCCCATGTTTCCTTTTAAAGGCTTTATAGTTTTGCCTTTCATATTTAAGTCTCAGAATGGACTTCTTGATATATAGTGTGAGGCAGGGATGGAACTTCATTTTTTCTATTTAGTTAACTGAATGTCTGAGTACCGTTTATTAAATACTCCAGTTTTTCCCCACGACCTGAAATGCCTGGTAGTTACAAGTCAAGTCTCTATATATGCCTGGATGACATGCTAGGTTCTGTCCTGCCCCACTGCTCTGCCTGTCTATCGTGTTCCACTGCTGCTCTGTCTTTATTGCTCTCGCTTTAATAATAAGCAATGGTATCTGGCTAAGTAGTCCCCCACCACACAGCTAACTTCTTGTTTCTTATAACTGTCTTGGCATCCTTGGACAGCTGCTCTTCCATATGCTTCTTTTTCTTTTTTGTGCTGGAGATTGAAACCAGGGCCTTACACATGCTAAGCACACTGTCTACTGCTGAGCCACAGCCAGCCTTCCATGTACTTAGTGTGTGTGTGTGTGTGTGTGTGTGTGTGTGTGTGTGTGCGCGCGTGTGCACGCACGCTCCTAAAAAAGCTTCACAAATGTTAGGCAAGTATGCTACCACTGAGCTACATCCCTGGCCCATCCATATACATGTTTTGTTTTGTTTGTTTTTTGAGACAAGGTCTCCCTTTGTCGCCCACTATGGCCTTGAACTCATTATGTAACCCAGACTGGCCTTGAATTTGTGGCAATCCTCCTGTCTCAGCTTCCCTAATGCTGGGATTATAGGCATGCACCACACCCATATAAAAAGCTTCATATACTTTTTTTTTTTTTTTGTCTTTTTGAGACAGGGTCTCCCTATGAAGTTCAGACTGGCCTTGAACTTGCTTTGTAGCCCCGGCTGGTCTTGAACTCAAACAATCCTCCTGCCTCAGCCTCCCAGGTGCTGGGATTACAGGCGTGCACCACCATGCCCAGTTTACTATCCTTTCTTGAAACTGTAATGTTTAATGGAGCATTGTAAAATCCTCCAGGTCCAATAAAAAAACATTAAGTGCCACTTACTGGCTTCAAAATGACCATGTATCCATTTTGTATAAAAATTCCTTTTAGTATTTATATCATAATCCAAGTATGCAGCATAAGATACAAAAATAAGTTGGACAGCAGATCTGAACCACCATAAGAGGTTCCCAGGATTCCAAGAATTGGGGTAACAGCTCACTGACTTCAGTCCTGAGATGCCTGAGGAAGATTCCTCACTATGACCACAGATACCTGGCTAAGGCGAAGTTTGACGGGGACCCTTGCAGACAGCGTGACTGACTGCTCAGTGACTTCCTCTGCTTTCTTCTGGGATACTGAGGGACAGGCACGGGCTTTGGACTCAGACAGATCACCTGTGTGGTTCTAAGTGACTCAGCCACAGAAACATAGTGAAGATAAGCAGCCTACCTTGCAGCGGGGCAGGGAAGACTAAATGGGTGAACCTGTGTCAGTTGTGTAAGACAGTCTAGGTCCTAGGTGGGTGTGGTGGCACACACCTGTAATCCCAGCACTCAGGAGGCTGAGGCAGGAGGATCGCTGTGAGTTCGAGACCAGCCTGGGCTACAAAGTGAGCTCACTTTTGAGCTCAGCCTGAACTGCATAGTGAGACCCTGTCTCAAAAAGACAAAAAAAAAAAAGTCTAGGTCCTGCTAACTGCATCATTAATGTTGGCATCCAAAATTGTTCCCTACTTAGACACTTAAAGTTGAGCAAGACCTTGGGTCCTGTAAGCTCATGGTCCTTTAGTGCAGGATTAGAATACGGTTAGCATGGCAGGCATGGGCTTTAAAAGAGAACTTTCTTTTAAAAAAAGAACAGAAAATGAAAATGACCCTTACGCCTTGCATCACTAGAGGAACAGATATAATATAATTCATATAAGGATGTCATAGAAATGTTGACAGGTAAAGGTAAGTTTACAATGGTCACCTGCAGTGTCAGGTGTGAAAGGGTGCAAAAGAGCCGTCAGTGTACAGGACAGCTGGAGGATCCAGTCAAAGTCAAAAGCCTGGAGCTCCCTGCAGAGGCCCATGAGAGTCATGTGGACAAGTGGAAAGATCTGTGTTGGAAGGTTGAAGAGTCTGTGCTGGAAGCCTGAAGGAACTGGAGATGAACTTCCAAAGGTAATGGCAAACACTGGAGTGCCTCCAAAGAAGCAAAAGAGGGAGACTTCCTTCTTTCCCTTTTCATTCCATCCAGGCTACAAGCCTATTGGTTGGTGCCATCCCCATCAGGGTGGGTCTTCCTTCTTCATTTTGCAGTTTAGAAGTTTGTTGGGTTTTTTTGGTTTTTTTTTAGACAAGGTCTCACTATGCAGTTCAGGCTGGACTTGAGATCACTTTGTAACCCAGGCTGATTTTGAACTCACACCAACCCTCCTGCCTCAGCCTCCCAAGTGCTGGGATTACAGGTGTGTGCCACCACACCCAGCCTGCAGTTTACAAGATAATCATTCAGATACGCCCAGAACTGTGCTCCAATAATCCATTAAACCAGTGGTGGCGAACCTATGGCACACATGCTGCAGTGGGCTGTTTGTTATCCTTGAAAACTCTAAAAGGTTCACCATCATGGCACTAGGCATTCCTTAATCCATTCAAGTTGACACATCAATTAACTATCACAATTTGAATACATTGAAGAAAGTAAAATGCTAGTGTCAAAGAAGTAGGTACAAAGGCCCTGGAGCGCTGTCCTCCAGCCTCACAGGGCTCTCAGTGCTTTCATTTAGATCTAAAATGTCCCCCAAAAGTCTCATATTCGGAGGGGGGAGCTTTAAGAAGGTGCTTGGGTCTTGGGGGTGTGGTACTCATCATAGATTAGTTCACTGAGGAAGTATAATTGACCTTGCAATTTGGAAATGGTGAGAAGGGACAGTCACTTGGGGTGACTGGAAGGATGTATTCTTGCCCCCAGCTCCTCCCTTCTCTCTTTGCTTCCTGACCACCATGATGCGAGCAGGTTTCCTCAGCCCTCCCACAATGATGTTTTTGCTGTGGAGCCTGCTGACTATGTGCTAACCCTCCTGAAACCATGAGCTAAATTAAACCTGTTCTCCTACAAGCTGCTAGTATCCGGTGTTGTATCTCAGCCACAAGAAAGCTGGCTAATTCCCCCAGTCTCTGATGCACTGCTCATTCCACTCTCACAGGGCAGAGCGCAGATTCAGCCTGCCTGCTGTGTATTAGTGCTGGGGCTGCTGTAATAAAACACTGTAGTCTGTATGGTTTAAACAAGGTCCCTTGCTCACAGTTCTGAAGGCTGAAGTCCAAGATCAAGGTTCTGGCAGGGCTGGTTGCTGGCAAGTCACTCTCTCTGGTTTAGATGGCTGCCTTCTTGCTGTGTCCTCTCATGGCCTCTGCTCTTCACATGGAGCGAGAACTCTGGTGATGCTTCCTCTTTATTTAAGGGTACCCATTAAGGCCCCGTCATATGACCTCATTTCACCTTGTTACCTCCTTGTGGGGTCTGTTTCCAAATATAGTCACATTGGGGGGTTAGGAGCTTGGCATATGAAATCAGGGTGGGGATACAACTTAGTCTATAAACCTTCCTATTTTCCAGAGGGAGAAACTCCAACTCCAAAAATGTAGATGATTCCTCTCAGCGTGCTTTGGAAATCAAGGCCGAAGCATAAACCAGAAAGACGGTGCAGTTCCAAGCTCAAAATCGGCTGTTCTGGCGACCTGTGGTGGCTGCGTGAGGTGCCACGCACCATTTTCCCAGCCTTTGCTCAGAGCCCACCATTCCACCAGTGGCCTGAGGATGCGCGGGAAGCTCCGGGAGCTCCTGTGGGAAGTGCCACTGGTGCGGACACTGGCATGGACGTGGGGCATTTCCCCCAGGGACCTTGTGAGCTGGAGCAGATGAGGCTGGTGAGAGCCCACACGCTAATGGTGGGCTGTGCACCCATAGGGAGTCGAGGACACCCAGGTTCTGCTATTAAACGCTGGGAAGTCTCAGGATAGTAGATCTTTGGTGGCCTGTAGCCACTCATGTTTACCACGTGCTTTGAAAACATCCCTCGCTGGGTCTTCGCAGAGACCCTCACAGGAGCTTTTATTATCCGGGAGCTCAGGCGGGACCTCCCAAAGGGACATGGCTAGGAAATGGTAGGTCCCAGTCACAGGCCAGGTCTGTTTGACTCTGGTGTTTGTACCCTTCATGTTGTATCTCGTTACCTGGGTCCTCCCAGTTCAGAGCAGACAAACAGCCTCTCGGTGATACTGTGGGGCTAGGCCAGTCCTCTTCCCACCCTTGGTCAGACTTGGGCAGCTTTCACCTCCTGGAGGAACTGTAGGGAAAGGAAACACATGTTGCCCTTCTCCAAGGCCTGTCCAGGAGCCAAACAGATCAAATGGGGTACGGGGGGTTGGGGAGAAGTGCTGGAATGTCCCAGACTGTCTTTTCCCAAGTTGAGGAGCGGAAGCCATGACAGCTAAGGGGATTTGTGGAAATTCTTTCGTGCATTGTTACCAGGCAAAGGAAGTGGTTTAGAGTTGAGCTTTCTATTTCTGCCCTGGGGAGCCCCAGCCAGTTTCAGCTCCTGAAATAATTTTTGTGAGAAATTGAAGGGACCGTTGCAGGTCCTGTGTGTGCAGGGGGCGTCCTTCCATCCCTCCTTCCCAGTGGTGAAGGGGGCAGAGGGTCCAGTGTCCCAGACAAACAGCCTCAGAATCTGTTCCTCTCCTTTTTCCTTCCACTTTGGGGCGGGCAGCTCAGGGCCGAGGCAAACGAACAGAAACATTTTTTCCGGGCCTGCTGGTATTTGTTTCTGGCACAATCAGCACAAGCAGATTAGAGAAATAAGTTGCATTTTTGAGCCTGTGTTAGCTCCCTGGGCTGGACCTCCTCCCGCTTGGTCTCTGTGGTTCTACACAGCTTCCAGTCTACTCTGGAGAGACCGCTGGTCCTGGCGTCCCTGACATAGCTGCCCAGATCCTGCCAGCTGCTGATTCATCCCTGGTCTCTTGGGAGGGTTGTAGTTAACTCACCAGGAAAGATGCACATGCGTGTATCCACACGTCTACATGTGGAGACACCCACCTCCATAATTACATTTGTATGTACTTATGTGCACGCGCTGGTGGCCCATTTCCTTTCCACTGCTGTGCTGGGGGTTCCTTGGATCCTCTGTCTGGTGCAGAGAACTCTGTGGGAGTCCTCGACAGGACGCTGGAGGAAGGGGAGGCTGGGCCTTCCAAGGCCAGCATGGATCCCCCTGGAAACTCTTGCTGTGAGCCAGACACGGAGGACCATACCAGGCTGCTCCACCCAGGCCCCGCCAGAAAATCCTTTCCCAGAAAATCACCTTTGCGGTGTGACAGAAATCTGGCAGAGCAGGGAAGGACATGTAGGTCTTTCTTAGCCCCTGTGCTCTCTCTGGTTAGAAAGCTGAGTTGGTGTGGCCCACTCTTAGGGAACTTTCACAAGGTACCTAAGCGGGCAGGAGGGCTCACTCCCTGCCTCCTTCCCCTCCCTCTCTCCTTCCTTTCCTTTCTCTCTCCTCCTGCTTCTCCTCTTTCTCTTTATTTAGTCCAGTAGAGAAACCCCAACACCCTTCTCTATCACTCTCTCCATATATCCAGCTCACTCTAGGTCTCAGTGTCGGGGACTTTGGCAAATCACAGCCCAGGGACCTGTGAGTGTCCCTCCTTCACCGGCTCCACCTCTGGGTGAGGCCTGCGATGGCCAGAGTGGAACCTGTCTTCTCAGCCCCACACTGTTTCCTTCCCTATGTGGGACCAGAGCAGCAGATCAAGGCTGTGAAGGCCTGAGAGAAGTGGAACTTGTCGTATGTCAACTGGCATAGTCTACTTGGAAGAATCAAGGATTTTTTTTTCTTTCTTTTTTTTTTTTTGCAAGGGGGTCTTTTGTTTTGTTTTAAAGTAGTTTACATCTGTAAAACTTCTGGAAAAGATACGGATTCCCAGCGTGTAAAACATGAATTTTTCAGTCAACATTCCTAATGCCCAAATATGCTTCAGGACTATGAAAACTTCACACACAGTGACATGTTGGTCTGAAGTAAATCACAGCGAACAGTTAGTTGTAAGAGGGCATTTTATGTTTTATATTTATTTCCACATCCAGTTTATTTTTGCTCTGACGTTTTATTATAATTTCTTCCTACAGTAGGTAAAGTGCTCGGGAAGTTAATTTAAACCAGCCTGACTCTCTGTGTGTTTTTTAATATTTGTTTAAGCTTTTATTGAGCTTGTCAGGCAAGTCAGTGTGCAAAAATGTAGCTGAAAACCCCTTTCCTTTTGCAGTGCCTACCCATTAATACGAGGTGGTGACAACAAGATTCTCGCACACTTCAAGTGGGGGATTATTCTGGGTTTTCAGGGAAATTTGAGCCACCTGTTTCAGAAACCTCTTAGTGACTTAGCGGGATGATGAAGGGTGTCTCCCCACTCGGCTGTCACTCAGAGTTCAGCCCCTCGGGCTCCACTGACCTGGCCAGGCCCTGCAGGGCCAATTTGCCCTGCTGGTTGGAGGCCTGCGCTCTGAGTCGTCCCCCCGCCCCCGGCCTGTGGCTTGGCCCCAGCCTGGGCCAGAGGAGCAGCTGCCATCTATCTGCCTGCGGGGAACTTTCCAGATCCACAGCAGGCTGACTTCCCTTGGGTTTGGGCTGCCCGGTCTGGAGCTGTTTATCATGGACAGCAGAACGGCGTGGGGTCACCTTTGAGGAAGTGAGCTGTGAGAGCCATTTGTGCGGCCTACGTGTCGGGAAGCCATGCGGCCCACAAAATTTGGCCAAGGGGAGGACTAGAAAGTCAACATTTTCCAGCAGGCTGAGAAGGCGGCTGGGTATTTCTCGAGCCCAGAACGGCAACGCAGTCCTTGTGGTGGAGAGGCAGGAGAGCGGGCCATGCTGCAGGCGCAAGCTGATCTACTCGGGAAGGCTCAGGAAAGCCCTCTTAACCCAGATGAGACTTCCTGGGCCTACAGACTCAGTTCCACAGTAACCAGAAGTCTCATCAAACTTAACCTCGGAGGGAGATTAGACTCAGCCTGTTAAGCGTGGAAGGAGTCTTGGCGGTGCTTAGCACCAGGAGCTTTCAAAGAATGGCCCCAGGTCCCCAGCATCAACACCTCCAGGGAATTTGTTGAAAATGCAAGTTCTCAGGCCTGACCAGGACCAGAGAATCTGAAAAACTAGGCTGGGCCCTGCAGTATGTATTCTGACAAGCCCTATAAGGAGGCTGTTGCAGGAGGCTCTCTGAGAACTGGTCTAATCTAGCCCGTGATTCGATAAGTGGGAAAACTGAGGCCTGGAGTAAAACAGGAGGAAGGAAAATAACCCGCTTATTGCCAGTTGTTTGTGGCAGAACCTGGAAAGTTTGGTCAGACTGGTTCTCTTCCGGCCCATCCTCCTACCAGCTCAGAGGCAAGGCCATAATTTCTGCATCCCACCAATTGCTACCACTGACCTGGCTTTTCTCTGCCTCTGCTGACTTAACACCCTCTGCACACTCCGGGTGGGGAAGAAGGCCTGCTGAGAAGGCCCACTCTTCAGTCCTGAAGTCAGGGAGGTGAAAAGAATTCTCTTGGCTCTCAGACCAAGTTCCTTACCAGCTGAGGTAGCTAGGTCTGGCCCCTGCCTACCGGCCCTGCTGAGCGACAACATGTTCTACTCCATGTGGCATCCCCATGGTTACTGATATTGATCCAGGCTGGGCTTCTGATCCCTGGGGACAGGGCAACCATGGGCTGGCCAGGGATCTCCAAGACTCACAGGCTCGAAAAGATGATCTGGACCAATCAAATCCCTCCCCTGGGAGTTTAGACCTGGGAAACTTGCAGGCTGTGGCTGTGAGCAAAGGAAACCAAAGCTGGAAGGCTGGTGGGATCGCATGACATAGACGGGTCTGGGCAGTCCTGAGGACCTTTCTGCAAGCTGGGAGAAGGCAAAGTAAACCAAAGGAATCAGGTAATGGGGGAAAACAAAAAGCAAAAGAAGAAATAGAAGCAAAAGCCCCACAAGAAAGATGTGTGGCTATAGTTTTAGCTTCCCCCAGGGCCTGATTTCTCTGAGGCTTGTGTCCTTGCCACCTAACACACTCCCTGTTGGGTCTGACCACAGACATTCTTTCTTTGAGATAACATGGGTGAACCGTTGACTCATAACCCATGTTGCAAGATCAGAGCTTGGTGGCTTTTTCTATAAAGGGCACATGGGTCTCTGATGAAGCTGCTCTGTGAAGCCTTCTTAGGGCAAAAGCAACCACAAACCAGGTGTAAATAAATGGACATGGCTGTGCTCGAGTACAACTTTATTCTAAAAAATGGATGACCATCTTGTCAGCCAAGATTTGACAACACTTGTGCTAGATTCAAGCTCTAGTGTGGCACTCACCTGGGATGAAAGATCCTAATCTTTAGGGAGCCTGACACCCCCTCCCCCACAACCCCCTTCAGTACAGTCCAGGTCTCATTTGGCTGTGGTCTTCATCTTAAGAAGAGGGTAGTATGTGAGCCACAGATTCTTTCTGCACGCTCTTTTCTCATAGTGCTCTGCCACTTCCCTGGCCAGTCAGCTACCTGTCTAGTTCTGGTAGTGCAGCAGAAAATGCTCCCCCCCTAGCCAGTCTATTAACTGCCCAGGTAACAGTTCCTGTTACTTCTGTCTCCTAGAAACAGATGGTCATTGTGATGCATATTACAGGAGCCAATCAATAACCATCAAATACTCTGCTTCTGTACTTTCTGCTTGCTTATCCCATATAAGCCTCAAACTACCAAGGATCAGGGCCTGATATTTGGGGATTGATCCCGATTAGTGCCTGGCAGTGTAAAATAAATCTGCCTCCAAATCCTGGGTGTCGTTTTGATGTTTCTGCTTACCATTGCAGTAGGAGTCCCAAGACCAAAAGTCTACAGGTGCTCAGATTATCTGATCAGCAGACACACATACACACAAAGCAAAGATGCCCTTTAAGCTCATCTTTGATGAACTATGCAACATTTTACAGAGAGGGAAGCTAGAAGGAACCTCATCATTTCAACATATGTGTGAGAGTTGTAATATTCTGAAAAACTCAGAATATTTAAGTTAAATTTATATAATGATGAACATAAAACAGATGAAAGAAGGGAATAGTAGAGACTGTTCCACACTGCTTAATCCTGCCCTCCCTAAAGTCAGTGACAGCCTCTTCTTAGCTCTAGCTCATCTTTTGGGGATACAGTCCATCTGATGTTAGATTTTTCAATTCTTGTATATCTAAATGGTTTTTTAAATTGGTTTTTTGAGACAGGGTCTTGCTATGCAGTTCAGGTTGGCCTTGAACTCACTATGTAGCCCAGGCTAGCCTCAAACTCCTGCTTTAGCCTCCTAAGTACTGGGATTACAGACATGTGCCACTCTGCCCAGCCCTCTAAATTTTTAAAAATGTAAAACATCCTGATTTTTTAAATGTTAGCAACTAATTTAAATTTAAAAAACAAAATGTGTTCTTTTCAAATAATATCCACAAGTCAGATTCAACCCATGGGACACTCAGGGTCAATTTGTCCTTTTACCTGTGACAACTGTCAGGGCGAGATTCCTTTAGCACATTCAGCTCACTTCTCAGAGGACAGCCCTACGTTGCTCTCGGAGGTTTAGGGGGAAATCTTAGTCCCAAAGGGCCAGGGAGCTTGCTTAGTAGTCACTGAGCCAGGGCCAGGGCTGAGCTGCAACCGCGTAGGCTAGGTCTCCACGTGAAGCTGGCCACACGGCAGGCTGGCGTGGCCTTCCCAGCATTACTCTCCACTCACGTGCCCACATTGGGCTGTGCTCGCAGTGGTATCTGCCTGTGGTTGATGCAGCTGGCAGGAGGGGCTCTGAGAAACTAGAGGTGTTGGGTATGTTCAGTACGAGAACCGGCCCTGGGGTCCCATCCTGTTATGCAATGGCCCTCAGGTCCCCCTTCCAGCACACGCTGGGGAAGGGCTCTTCACACGCAGAGACCTCACGCAGCATCCCCCCGGGTCAATCAGAGGTTGCTTTTGGAAATGAAGGACGGTGCTTTCCTCCTTAGGACACAACAGGAAGAAATGTGCCATTTGCAAGATAAGTCGTGAGACTGCAGGATACGAGCCTAAAAAACTGGGACGTGGCTCCTAGAAGTGATCACGGGCATTCTTTTTCTAGAAAGTCTTAGGGATGCATTAGCTCAAGGAAGGGTGGAGGGCAGGAGCTGAATCCTCTGAGGATTCCTTCCAGAGAATGTCAGCTTTGGGTAGAAATCGGGCCAAGTCCAGATGGTTTGAGTGTAGCTGCTCCTCTGAGAGTGTGTATCTGGCTGTGTTCCTGAACCAGATGAAAATGGTTTTTGGATTATCTAGTGTTTTGTTTTAATTCAGGCCTCATCTTCCTTCCATTAGTTCATGCCAACTCCTCATCACCAGCACTGGTTCTGTAATTATCAGTTGTCGTTCTATTTCCCCATGGCCATTTGGAGTCAGATAGTTTGGGTTCTCTTCTTAACTCTTTCATGATTAGCTATTGCACTTTTGCAAAGAGTCTCCCTGTGCCTCAGTTTTTCCACCTGGGGATGAGAATGGCCTCATGAGTTCTTGCAAAATTAAGATTAGAGCCAGGTGTGGTGGCAAACGCCTGTAATCCTAGCACTCAAGAGGCTGAGGCAGGAGGATCTCTGTGACTTTGAGGCCAGCCTGAGCTACATAGTGAGTTCACTGACAGCTTGAGCTAGATAGTGAGACCCTGTTTCAAAAAACAAAAAACAGAAGACTGATTGAGGTGAAAGTCTGTAGAGTACATTTATCTATCAAAATTCCAGAGGAGTCTACCTTAATATAAGAAGAAAACAGTAAGACCAGGAAAGCTGGAAGTCTACAGTGTAGCCACGGGTCTCACAATTTTGCTGGTGCAAAAACCACCCACTCAGATGGAAATCAGAATGCCACAGACTTCCTGCAGTGCTGCAGATTGCTAGCTCTGAGTGAGCCCCATGAGTTGAAGGCACAGAGGAAAGGTTTCCAAACATCCCACCTTCATCCAGTGTCCAGAGCCCTGCTTTGTGCTGATCTATTTGCCAAGGTTGTCTTCCTCAAAGGAGCAAGCTGCCTCAGTAGCTGGCAAGAAGAAACATTCCGGGGGTGGGGAAGAGAGAAGCCGCAAGAGGGTGATCAGGACTGAAGTAGCAACTGGGCTCTCCCGTGCGATGGAGCACCACAGCCTCTGGCTCCTCCGAGGCCTGCTCTCCCCACCTCTGCCAATTGGCCCTGAGATGGGCTAAGCAAATATGTACAGTATGTCTTCCTGCAACATGAGATTCTTCAGTAATGGTTTTCTGCCCTTACTCTTCATCTCTGATGATTAATTCTCTGTGCCCACTTAACTGGGCCAGAGAGTGCCCAGGTATTTGGCCAGACATTATTCTTCACCTGGGAGAGGATTCCTAAGCAGACACTTGGATCAATAGACTGAGTAGGGCAGACGGGCCTTCTTGATGTGGATGGGCCTGCTCCGCTCAGCTGAACATCTGCATGGGAAAGGCTGGGGAAGAGGGAACGCACCCTGCCGGGCCTCTGAGCGGGGATGCTGGTGTTTTCTGGCCTTCAGACTTGAGTGGAAACATTGGCTCATCTTCGGTCTCCAGCCTCCAGGCCTTCAGATCGGAACTTACGTATTCAGCTTTCCTAGTTCTGTGGCCTTCACACTTCAACTAGAACGACACAGTGGCCCTCCTGGGTCTCCTGCTTGCCAGCTGCAGATCTCAGGACCTTTCAGCCCCCACACCCTTGTGCACCAATTTCTTATAGTATGTATTATAATATATATATATATATATACATATATATATAATATATCCAGAGAGAGTGAATGTGTGTGTGTATTTATCTATCTATCTAATCTTTGTTTTCCTTTTTTTCTTCTTTCTTTCTCTGTCTTTCTTTCTCTGGAGAGCCCTGGCTCATATACCAACTTATCTAACACACCTGCTCTGCCCCACCTCGGCAGTCCCTGCTCAGATCCACTGCAGTCCCTCACCTGCAGCTCTGTGTTGAATGCCTCACTGATTTCTGTAATTGTGCTCCCTCCCATCCATAGATGTGTCCAACTGCCAGCCCCCTCTACCAGCCATGCATGCCATCTTCTTTGCAAAATCTCTCTCTAGATGCCATTAATTTAAGAACCTCAAGGTGAGATCATCCTGCCTTAACCAGAGGGACCCCAACACCAATGACAAGAGCCCATGTGAGATGCAGACCCTTAGAGGCCACCCAGAGACAAAGGAAGCCACTCAAGAAAGAGGCAGAGATGGGAATGATGCTACCGCAAGCCCAGGAAAACTGGGGCCACCAGGAGCTGAAAGATTCAGATTCTCTCCTAGAGCCCCTGGAAGGAAAGTGGTCCTGTTGACACCATATGTCAGGTGTCTTCATTCCAGGCGTAGGAGAGAATGAATTTCTAGCTTGGAGGGTTTTTTGTTTTTGTTTTTTTTCAGTGCTGAGGAGTGAACGCAGGGCCTCTCGCATGCTAGTGTTCTGCCACTGAGTTCCACCACAGCCCAGGAATTTCCTTTTTTAAGCTCCAGTGTGGTCCTCTGTGCTGCAGCCCAGAAGGACTCACACTGCCCGCCTTGCATGCCTGACAGACTGAGATACGTTCTCCCAGCAGTCAGGCTGATCCCTGAGAGATGTAAATCTGATTTTAACTTCTGCTGTAAACACTTCGGTGGCCTTTTTACTGTGACCCAAATGAACTGCAGATCTTTGAATTCCAGCCAGACCCAGTCTGGGTACCTTCTCCCCTCCACCAGCTCTCTCCTGTCACCAGCCCTTCAGGGAGCGCACTGGAGCACAACACCCGCTCTCTCCCTCAGTCTCTGCAGTGGCTCCCTCTGCCCAGGACATGCTTCCTTTAGAGCTTGCATGTTGGTCCTTCGTCATCCTTCAGGTCTCAGTTTCAACATGACCCTTCCCGTCCTGAATGCTCTCCAGCCATGCCCCGTACCCACCATACTATCACCTTGTCCTTGTCACTGTTTAAAATGAACACATTTTTTAATGTTTCCCTCCCCCACCGCAGAAGAAAGGGCTGCACTTTGCTGCCCACTGTGTCCCTAGTATCTAGAACAGGCTCAGAGGTGGGTCTGACAGATGACTGCGAGTGTGCATGTTCATGAACTGCTTATTCACATCCATTCACTCAGCAATTGCGTATTAAGCACTTAACTTGTGCCACCCAGACATCATAGGCCAAGCTCAGTGATGAACGTCAGGTTTCCTTTTCATTTACATTTAATTTTATTTATTTTTAAAAGTAAGGGCTGGGCATACTGGCACATACTTGTCATTCCAGCACTCGGGAGGCTGAGGCGGGAGGAGCCCTGTGAGTTCGAGGCCAGCCTGGGCTACCTAGTGAGACATTGTCTCAAATATAAATAAATAGAAACAAAATTAAGGAAGCCCTCCAATGGGATGGAACTCAAAAGGTAAAATAAGCCCCTGTGCCAACCCTTCACCCTCAGGGGGTGGGCCTGGGCCAGGGCTCTGCAAAGCCTGTTTCGGCACTGTCGGCTGCTTCCCGTGAGACTGTCCATGCACAGAGCTGGGGAAAGCGTGAGAC